CGTTCGGGATGTGGCAGTTATAGAGGAATCAGTCTGATCTCCATTGTGTCTGTCGTCCTCCATAGATTGACTGGCACCCGTGAAAGCCGGGTTCGCGAGCATCAAGCCGAGTTTTGTCGAAATCGAGGCTGCATTGACCACCTCTTCACATTACGTCAGTTGTTGGAGCACCACCATGTTTAGTTGCGACCCACCGTAGTCGTGTTCCTCGACATGTAAGGTGCGTTCGATTCGTTGGATCGATGTACCCTTTGGGTTTCTCTATTCAAGAAACATCTGTCCGAGCAATATGTATACATTATCCGAGCACTGTACGCTTGTAGCTCAGGCAGAGTGAGGGTTTACAGCAAGCTGTCGCCGTCCTTCAACATCTTCAGTCGTGTGAGACAAGATTGCCTGCTGTCACCTTTCTTCTTTAACTTCGCGTTTGACGAAGTTATGAAAATAGCGTTCGCGGGACACGATTTGGTGGTGAGGGACTGCTCCCTGATTGCTGATTACTGGTTGGAAGCAACAAGAAGGGATATCCGTATAGTTGCATCTAATGTCACTGAGGGATAAAGACCCTTTATGTTGGGGTGCGCTCAATATATTTTATATCCGCGAAGTGTTTGTCCAGGAATTCCTAAATTCCGACACCGGCTTTGCCTCAACTACGTGTTGCGCAGGTCGTTCCATACGTTCACCTCTCTCCGTTCGAAAGAGAGTTGGTGAGCGACCTGCTTCATATCCGGTACGACAAGCTTGTACCGTTGTCCTGGTGTGCTGCTTTGTGTGTGCAGTTGAAGCAGCGGCCTCAACTTGGGGTAGTCACCCAGGTGTAATATCCGGTGTGTCATGATGAGGTCGACCTGCAGTCGACGATAAGCTACGGTGTAAAGCCTTGCTTTCTTACACCGGTCTTCGTATGGCACACCTAAATCGGGAAACAGCCTGGTGGGTACATGCTGCACTCTCTCAATCTTTTCTACTTCGCCCCGGGTGATAGGACAATACGCGGTAGATCCATACTCTAGCATTGGTCATATTAATGCGACGAAGAGGCGAGTGGCGATCTCTTCGGACCAATTGCTGTAGCTGTACCTGAGCTCCCAAAGCATGCGAAGGCTGTTTTGGTATCGGCTATTCGTATTGTCCATGGACTTAAGGTCGTAGCGTGAGAGTACACCGAGGTCTCGCATGAAAAGCGCGAGATGGAACATTTGACCTGTCACCGTGTAGCTTCGACTATGCTCACACTTACCCAGCCTCATGGATTGCGACGTTACCGGATTGATCAGAAGGTTGACCTCTACAGATCACGTGGAGAGGCGGTCAAAGTCCTGCTGAAGAGGCTCACAGTCATTGGGTACGCGGATTACTCTCCACATCTTCAACTCATCTGCGATCGACGCACAAGGAGTGGCTGAGGCATATCGTTTACATGGATCAGAAACAAAATCGGCCCCAGTGCAGTGCCTTGAGGCGCGCCACTGCTCGATGGATACCAGTAGGTCAAATTGTTGTCGACCTGAACCCTCCGATCAACAAGGAAATGCTTGATCCATGAGTGCAGCCAATCGCCAACACCGTACTCCGTCAGCCTGTCGAAGAACACTGCATGATTTACCTTGTCAAAAGCCTTACTGAAGTCAATGTAAATGACGTCGACCGACTTGCCTTGGTTCAGCGCTTGCAACCATTCGTGCCTCGTCAACAGTAGGTTGTTGATGCACGATCGACCTTTCACGAAACTATGCTGTGCAGGCCTCAAGGGGCTTGTCCACTCGAGAAGCTGCAGTTGACTCTTCTCCACGATCTCGAGCGCCTTTTCCAACACGGCGGTTAGGCAGATCAGCCGGTAGTTCTCCACTTTGCTTGGCTTACCACCTTTTGGTATTGGCTTTACGACTGAGCATTTTCAGTCGCCCGGTAATAGTCTTGTAGATAGTGATCTGTTAAACAGCTCAATTACAGAAGACGAGATGGACGATAGGGACTTGAGATCAGTGGATGGATTCTATCTGGCCCGGCAGGATGCGTCCCGTCAAGACTTGCAAAACTTGCGTACATCTTCAATGCTGCAATCCAGGCTGTTTAGTTCAGCGGGATCAGTACTCGTCGAACTCGGTACGGACACCTGGTGTACAACTTCTCGACTTGGAATATGCGGACGATAGCGCCCTAATCTGTGACAGCTCCCAAGCGTGCCAAGCAGCACTGGACCGATTAGCACTGGCTGTCAGTCGTTTTGGACTGCTTTGCACCATCGAAATGCAGAGATCCACTCTTGCACTAACCCTTGGCGATGATAATTTAGAAGTCGTTTAAAAATTCAAGTATCTGGGAAGCTATATCAGCGCCAGTGGAACGAGAAATGAGGTCACGAACCGTATAGCAAAAGCTTTATGTGCTTTTGCTAATCTCCACTCTCTGAGGCTCTGAAGGACGGAGTTTACAATGCAGCTATCCGTACAATTCTCCTGTACCGTTGCGGGGCCTGACCCGTCAAGTCAGCGGACATAAACAGGCTTTTTACGTTCAATCATCGCTACCTTCGCAGCTTAGCTCATATCTGGTGTGAACACCGCCTGAGTAATAAGCGTGTTCGGCACCGTCTTTTTGGTGCTGGAAGAGCGAATTAACCGTTCAGCACCATTCTATCACGCACCAGGCTCCGATGACTAGGCCACGTGTTGTGCATGACAGCCCATCGACTCCCGCGATGTGCGTTGTTTTCGCGCCAGGGGTGTGGATGGAAGAAGATGAGGGGAGGCCAAGCGATGACTTGGTCAAGAGGAATGAAGTCTCTCACTTCGAAGTTGGCGTCGGTTGGTGTTCCTGACTGCCTGGCTGTGGACCGAAGGACGATGAACCTCTTTGGTTGGATGCACTAACCGACATGGCGAAGAGTCGACTTCTGTGACGTTTGTGATGTGTGTCTTTTCGTCCCTCTACAACAACCATCAAACATGTAATATTGGCATAATGCTACTTTTTATAAATTTTATGTCTACGTTGCTTAGTGTTTTACTTTTGTAGATTGCGGCATATTAGCTGTGGTGTGTTCCTCACCCTCGGCTAACGTGTGTTGATGATGATTGTTATCGTTGTCATGTCAACGAGAGTCGTGGCAACTAGCTTCACCGCACTTCGGTGCCCGGATCATACTTGTTTGTCTGAGCGAGCTGATTGCAAATGCTACAGCGACTCACTGAGTTTCAGAGAAAACAACAAATGGGCAAGCTAGGTTTTGCTTTAGCTTAACGTGACTTGCTCATATTTTTATTCCCCGGTAGGTGCTTCAGCATTCCCATAATTACGAAGAGTTCACCCCGGAAGGCTTCCTTGGCTTGAAGGCCGTTTCTGCTTTCTTTGACCTCAACTGTATATGGAGCTGGATTTTCTTGAAAAGTGCATCGAAATATTCTTTTTTTCGCAAATCTCCGTACCACGGCACCAGTGTTCAACACTACAGGTACGGTGCGCAAGACTGCCCTATCTCTTTTTTTCTCTCCAGTTATATGGTCAAAGTGATCAGAATGTGTCCGGCCTCTCTCTATTTCTCTTGAGATTGAGATTCTGTTTACTGACTAGTTAAACTTGGAGTACGTAATCTAGATTACTGTGCCTGGATCGGGCGATGATGCTATACAAGCGCTACTCAGCGGGCTGACGCCTAGTGCTGTGCACTTTAGTGTATGTCAAATGCCGTTACAGGGCTGGACCAACCCACTTCCAGTTTACACTATTACCACTCAGCTGTTCGAGGTGCTAACTCTGGTATTCACATCACCGAAGAGGCTACTGAAATTAGCTCTAGGACTCGTGCTGCATCTCAAGGTACATATCTCCTATAGATATGATGGGGTGTAATCTCTGTGACTAAAGGAAGAATCTACGGTGTGCCCATGTTGCTGCATGGGTCAGAGATCTGGCCACTGCCTGCTGAAGTTATTGGGCAACTGAAGTTTGACCGTTGTTGACTGCGATGTAATACTCATATTTGAGTGGATAGCCGAGTAAGTGGTACCGGCATCCACCCAGTAGTGTTCGGCAGCATCCGGTGCCTCATTGGAGTGTCTGTTGAACTCGGATTGTCCGGACGACTGAGCCATATGTTTCGCATGCCTACAGCCTGGTTGTCTTCGCATCTTTTGTTTGTCAATGCTGCGCCTAGTTGGGCGAAACTCATGCGATCAGGCAATTACATAATGACGCGAATAAGCTCACCGGAAGGCTGAGTCGGGCACGATCATGAAATGGGTGATCTTGCCTTCGTCTCCAAATTTATAAGTACTACCTGTTCCATCACCCTCACTTCTGAGCTGGCCTCGGTTGGAGCGTCTCGGCTCCCTGGTTGGGGTCCAAAAGACGATGAACACATTTGGTTGGACACACTTGCTGATATGGCTAGGAGCCGACCTCAGTGGCGTTCGTGCTGTGAGTTTCTTTGTCCCACCCCATCCCTCTTAGCCTCCCCCTCCAACCACGATCTCATTATTTAGCTTTATATACTCTTGCATAATATTTTTTTTCTTTTTGGGTGCACAGCAGCCGGCTGGTAGCTTACCGGAACGATGCCCATCCGTTACCGGTAGCTCAGCCAGCTTGCACCAGTTGTTTTTTCTCTCCTTTTTTCTGTGTATTGCGGCACGGTAGCTGGGGTGTTCCCCACCTCTAGCTAACGTGTATGATGATGATGATGATGATAACCTGTTTCATCGAGCAATTTTAATTCTTGATCACTTATCTTGAACTCATTGTTGTTATTATTATCGTCAATATTCCTATTTTGGTGTACTGAGTCAAAGCGGTTTGACCCACTGCACTTAGGTGCACGGTTTGTGGTTAATAACTGTATTGAACCGCACCTCTTCGTGTCCCTAATCAGTGAGCCCTTCATTCCTGCTTTGTGGTCGTATGGTGGTGATGAGTCAGAACAAAGTCGTTATGTGCTGTTGCCACCGGTTCCTTGTTTGTGTTCACTTCGTTTTTGTATTTTTGTTGACATTCTTCAGGTCATGGATTCTGGACGTATTTGTGTTCTTGATGTGGAAATGGAAGGAGTGAAGAGTATTCACGCGGTCAGACCTGCATTGAATGCTCAGTTCATTCTTATACGGCCACTTTCGTTAGATTCTCTAGAATCCCGTTTGCGCGGCCGGGGTACAGAAACGGAAGAAACCCTACAGAGACGAATCGCTCGAGCGAAATTGGACCTCGATTTTGCCGATTGTGAGGTCGGTCAGAAACTGTTTCACAAGGTTATTATCAATGAACAATTGGATGAAGCGTATAAAGAGTTGGAAGACACGGTGCGCCCGCTTTTGTCTTTATCTTGAACAGGCTTACTAGTTAACTTGCACTTTTTATCAGTTATCTTTGTATTACCGGACTGAGTTATCAACAATATAACATCGGGCTTTCTTGCTTTCGATCTCCCTATTTTGTCCCTTAGTAGATTTTTTGCCTTGTGTTTAGCAAGTCTATTTTTGTCGTATTTTTGTTTTTCTTTGTTTTTGTGCTCTTAATTTATCTTCTGTTTTGCTTCTACAAGATGTTATTACCATTGGACAGTTTCTGAGTTCCAACGAAATTTATGCATGTGACTCTCGCAGGTTTCATGCAGGTTTCATAAGTTGTACTATTTTGTATTTACAAAGGGAAACATGTGCGCTGCTGATATCCAGAGCATTTAGTGAAACGCAGTATCACTTGCTTAAAATATTCTTTCGAATAGTGTGCTTGACGCTTTTGAATGCGGTACGCCGTCAAACTGGTTATCATATTCCACTGGCATCGCTTTCATCTCATCACTAGTACTGGTGCTTTTTCCACTATGCAGTTCGTTAAGGGGAGAATGATTCTTTTTTGTAAGAACTGAATTCGTTGGGTAAAAGCATAATATCGGAACTCACGTCCTGTCAACGTTGTCTAGCCACAAACGCCTGGCTATCAGTGATGATGGGTCGACATTGACGAGATAGTTGCCTTGCGTCATTGCCAATCAAGCAACCCCACACATTGCACATCTGAAGCTAACGGTCTGGGTTAGAGATGACCGCTAATACTCCAGTTACTGAATGCTGCGCGCCATATTTTGTTGTACATGGTCATGCATCTAATGTGTCACATAGGTTCCATGCTGGAAGAGGTTGGGCCTCAGCTTGCTGTAACTGCGTTCCTCAGTAACTCTTGCTCTACACAAGGTGGCATCTTTCCTGTTCATCCAGAGCTATATGTACCAGACAAATCAGTGGTTAGAAGTCAAACAAACTCCACTTGAGCATCCTCCTCAGATGCTTATGAAAAAGCTTTCAAACTGTTCCACTAAAGACAATAGTTTCTGATCTTATAACTTGATGCACTGCCACGGTTCATCTCTGATAGTGTGAGAGTACCATCATTGGTCAGTGGTGTGGTACCACCCACCAATCAAACAATGGCTGGTTGCAAATACACAAAAACTCACTTGCAGTCGCTTATGTTCGAACATATCTTCTCTCATACGGTCGAACAAACACATGAACTGCACCTAATGTTCCAAGATTGTGTGTGGCCGACTTCACACACTGCTGATCTAGACATGCACCCATTGCCTTGTGGATTAAACTGCTCGATCGAGTATTTTGGGTGGCATGCTTCAAACGAATTTTTATTTATCTCGCAATCGCGTGACTTAGACTAAGTCAAAGGCTTTGGCTTGGGCACTTCGAACGAGAGCGCTGTCTCAAAATGAGCGGTTAGAGTATCATCTACCTAGGAAACTCCATCGGCAGTACTATCATTTCCTTTCGTCTTCTTCCTAGAGTAACGCGCAGGAAACAATCTCCTAACGTGTAGCTATCTCGTCCCTCTTACCAGGGTCTCATTCCACATTCGGTATTCTCAGTGTGCATACTCTATGTCACATCGGTTAAAAGGTTGCTCTAAATGTCACCGTTGAAATTGGTATGAACTGTTTCCGAATTTCGTACACTTGCTAGCAGCGTCATAACGAATCTCCCTCTCCAGATATGTCGGTACGCAGCATACTCTTCGCCTCCCTTGCGTTAGCAAATCAATGGCTCGAGGTATTCATAGTTCGATATTTCCTTCAACATAATTGGGAAGTTAGCCCACTTGACTTGATCCAAATGAATGACTGAGTTCCCTGTATCCGGGACTCTTCCCCTTCTCGATTAACATGATTGCTGACCACCATTTCAATAGCACATTCATTTACCATCGCCGAGTTCCATCTAACACTAGCTTTTTGATTCGCCCAATTACCGACCCTATTGTGTGGGCGGAAGTTACGAACTGAAATTAGCCGCCGCCTTTAGGTTGGTCATAAAGATTTAGCTAGTGCATACTATATTGTGTAGGTACTTAAATATGTGCGATTATTTGGAATATAATCAAAAATATCACAAGTATTAGCCACCAGTTGCTACTATAAGCGTTCTTCACTTCTTTATGTAGCGTTTTAACATGTCTGACTTGTAGCATCATTGGCCTCATAAATGTGATAGGTCATTATCAATGTGCAATCGTTCTCTGAATCAGATGGTGGTGTGATGTAAATCCAACAACGTTTTGAACTGGGGCCCAGATTTGGCCTCCATGGCTTGTTATAACGATGGTATGGTTCAACCAACTTACACTTAAACTAGGTCTTTTTAAGCTGCATAAATTTCATTCCACTTTATTTGGTTTGTTCTGCCTATCTGAATAATGTTCTATCAACTGGCCACGTTGCTTACGCTAATTGCGCGTATCTTCGGTAATTTTGTTGTGTTTGTAGCATTTTTAAGTAACTTGTGTACCTTTCTTACTTATCACGGATTCGCTGCTAACCAACTTACTTCATATGGTAATTTAGGGAAGAGTTATGCCACCGTATCTGTGTGCATTATTGGATTTATTTTATTTCAGCTTGTCATTTAAAGTGAATGGCTGTTGCTTGATATCCCCGGTGTGGCTGCGCTTGATGTGCATGTTGACAAGGTGCCTACTTGTCTATTACCCACTACCTCGCTCATACTGGCTCCAGGAGACAGTTGGTCGTTGCTAGAGGGGACGGGGTGCACGGTCCTTGTGGCCGTGCTAGGCTCAAAGAGCGGTTCCATGCACTCAGTGTGGAGCGGACTACGGACCAGCCACCGTCTTGTGTGCGATTGATTCCCCAAATACAACATGCCTGTGTTTGCCTGTGAAGGAGTGTGGGCCGGCTCCGTTGATGAAACGTGGTTCCCATCCGCATGCCTCCCGGTCTTATTCCTTCGGGTTTACACTGGATATGGGGTGTGTGGTTGGAGCTGTGGGTGGTGCAGCGCAAGCCACCCATGGTCCCTCTGTAGGCGCAGGCGTCCTGTGGCTGGCCACAGTGACAGGCAAATCCGAAACCGGATGCCGCCAACCATGGTTCAACCAAAGGTGCCTACTTGTCTATCACCCTACACCTCGATTACTGGCTCCAGGAGACTGAATCGTTGGTGGGAACGGGGTGCACGGTCCTCGTGACCATGCTAGGCTCAACTAATTCTTCCATCCAAGGCCCAGTCACCGCATCGTACACACATGATTTCAAATTAGGCATGAATACTTTCGCTCTGCTTGCTGAAGGAGTGTAGGCCGGCTCCGTTAATGAAACGTGGCTTTCATCTACATGCCTCCCGGTCTTATTCTTTCTTGTTTTCACTGGAGATGTGGTATGTGAATGGAGCTGTGGGTGATGCAGCGTAAGAAACCGATGGTCCTTCTGTAGACTCAGGCGTCCTGTGGCTGTCCCAGTGGAGGCCACAGTAACAGTCAAACTCTGAACTAGGTGCCGCCAACCATGGTTCATCACCTTGGTGTCAACGCATCACTTAGATTGGCCTTTGATACACGGGAAAACACCATGGGCGTCATCCTGTTGCAATTCATCGATTGAATATTAAGATCCGTGCAGACTAGGCATGCACGTTCAGTCACGAAGTCCTATCTGTCCGCTTCACCGTCCATCATTTCTACGAGATCTTCCTAGACAGTCATCGCACTAGTTCCATTGATCACATTACGCTAGCTCACTTCCCGAGTAACCAAGGTTGTTACCGTTGATTATTTTTGTGGATTATGCGCAATTAGCACTACCGGATCGGTAATCGGTCTATCCGATTTAGTCCCTGTTTAACAAACAGCTTATGCATCTCAGTCAACACCGCGCGCCTTGTACCTGAAAATATCAGTGTATCCCTTACCACCGATGACATGTTACTGTGCGCACTTCTGCAGTCATCCCAGGTTATTTGCGCTCTTTCGTTTTTAAGATTCTGCGCAATCGGATGTGCTCCACGAGTAAGCGCGTCTCGTGCAGCTGTATCTTGTCGGAAATTCATCACAATCTTAAACCTGGACTCACAGTTATCTTGTTCGCCGACAGACCAAAATAGCGTAATGCATAACCACATCCGCTGGGCGTTTCCCACCAATTTCCATAGTTTTCGTTCCCCAGGATATACACAGTACTGCGCATTGTCTTTGCGTCGATTGTCCCCATCCACAGCCAAAATTTTAGGAAATGGGCTGTTTAAAGGTATTTCTTTGAAAGGATCAATTTTTCCCCATCGAACACCACGCAAATGCGAACGGACCTCACCATGGAAACCATTGGAACGTACCGACTTATCCGAATCAACCAACACAGCTCAAAATGCGCTGTTCGACACAGGAGGCAATCTCCTGTCACATTGTGTACCTGGTAAGAGTACAAGATCATGCACTCTAATTTACTGGTTATCTTGTTTACGAGACGGAAATTCTACAGTATTTTCATCACCCCTTCTTTACTACTGGTGAACATTAAAAGGATAGTGAAACTATAAAAAGATTTAGAATTGCGAAAAACATTTAAAAAGTTTTGTATATTGTGCTTTTCTTCCTCTTTCGCAGGTATTACCAAAGTCCTCATATTTCCACAGGTTGTGCTTGTCTCATCCGCATTTCCCCTTGCTTTTCATGCCTTCAGCGGAAGCACGGTAGAATTTTGATAAGACTATCTTGCATTAGTGTTCGCTGGCGGCTGCTGCAGGCATCATCGCCCGGTACCGAAGAAGCCATCCGGCAACTGAAGGTCTTTTTTATTTTGAAAGCTGTGCATCTCTATGGAGTTATCCCTGGCCGATTACATTATGATTTGCAAAGTGTTATAGATGTACCGTACTTTTCACCTCTGAGTCGCGTCGTCCCTCTGATAGGCCATCGACGCTTGTATGCATGCATTCAGGATCCCTATAAATTGACCCTAGTTTACCTCCTTCCATCCGACCGAGGCTGTACGAACTCTCTACTTATCATGTTGTTCGTCCTTCGACCGTCTTGTCATTTCGAGTGTTTTTGACGGAACATCGCATATCCTCGTGTTTAACCTGTGGCATCCCACCAAGGCGCTGTCATACAATCTCAGTACAAAAGACAGTTTGTTAGCTTACAGTTGAACAGCAAACTTGCGGATTCTGTTATATTTAAGCAGCAACTCGTTTTCTCCTGTGCTGTCAGCCGTCTAAGGCACTGTCTCAATGAATGTTATTTCACCAGCGATGCCAGAACGTTCGGTTAATCACTTGCTCCGAGGGTAAACAAACAATATCGTTTCAACAGGAGACTCTGAATTCAGAGTATCCTGTTGAAATATTGTTCCTTCTTGCTATCTTAAAATTAGTCAAGGGAAAATCTTGCATAATACAATATCGTATT